AATACAGAAACAGCTCACACAGCTCAATATCAAAAAAAAAAAAACCCAATCAAAAAATGGACACAAGACACCTAAATAGACATTTCTCCAAAGAAGACATGCAGATGGCCAACAGGCACACAAAATGATGCTCAACATCACTAATTATTAGAAAAGTGCAAATCAAAACCACAATGAGATATTACCTCACACCAATCAGAACGGCCATCATCGAAAAGTCTACAAATAATAAATGGTGGAGAGGATGTGGAGAAAAGGGAGCCCTCCTGCACTGCTGGTAGGAATGCAGTTTGGTACAGCCACTGTGGAAAACAGTGTGGAGATTCCTTAAAAAAACTAAAGGTAGACTTACCATGTGATCCAGCAGTCCCACTCTGGAGCATATATCAGGAGAAAACTTTAATTCAAAAAGATACATGAACCCCAATGTTCACAGCAGCACTATTTACAACAGCCAAGACATGCAATCAAATGTCCATCAACAGATGACTGGATAAAGAAGTTGTTGTGTATTTATACAATAGAATATTACTCAGCCATAAAAAGGAATGAAATATCATTTGCAACAACATAGATGGACCTGGAGATTATCATACTAAGTGAAGTAAGTCAGACAAAGATAAATACCATATGATATCACTTATACGTGGAATCTAAAAAAACTGACACGAATGAACTTATTTACAAAACAGAATCAGACTCACAGACATAGAAAACAATCTTATGGTTACCAAAGGGTAAAGGGGGGGTTATATATTTGGAACTTGGGGTTAACACATATACACTACTATGTATAGAAGAGATAAACATGGACCTACTATATAACAGAGAACTATATTCAATATCTTGTAATAAGCTATAATGGAAAAGAATCTGAAAAAGAATGTATATATACATATAACTGAAATCACTTTGCTCTTCACCTGAGACATTGTAAATCAACTATACTTCAATAAAAAATAAGAAAATTTTAATTAAAAAATATACAGCTGTTAACAATACCAAGTTCAAGGGTAGGATTTTAAAAAGTGGGCAAAATAGCTTAATGCAGTAGGAAAAGGAGAAAACAATGCATCGGTACTTAGAAATCAGGTGGTAAAATGAGCAAGCTCCAGAACGTCAGGAAGTGTGAGGCAGGCAGCTGAGGCCTGTCGCCCCGACAGAAACAACAAAGAGCCAAGCTGTCGGCGCGCCTCTGTCAGAACTCTGAAAAACAGTCAGCAGTTTGCAGCAACCAAGCAAGTGCTGAGCGACTTGAAACAGTAGAAGAGCTTGGCAGTGTTTTCACTTGTCCCGCCCTCCCCTGCCCACGCGGCAGCCCCCTGCCCAGGGTGGGACGGGTCCCTGGTTCAGAGAGAGCAGGCAAAGCTTATTGGAGAAGCCTGTCTGTTTGTCCTGACTCGTCGGGGGCTGCCTGCAGCACTGACAGGGCCCCGTGCTACCAGCTCAGAGCCCGCTGCAGGCCGAGAGGTGGCGGCGCTGCTGAGGACATCGCCAGGTGGGCAGCCTCAGTGTGCGCCTCACGTGGCCCCCCGGGGGGCTCGGGGGAGGAGCCGGAGGAGAGATTCTTCGGGAAATTCTAGGGCCATTCGAAGTCCGTGTGTCCCAGGAAATGTAGAAGCCCCTTTAGAAGCCTGGAGCAGGCCCAGGGCGGCCAACACGCCCCAGAGCCCTGAACAGACCCTGGGAAGCGGAGGCCCAGCACGAGCCGCCTGCAGAGAGCTGGGCAGGCCCCCTTTGTCTCCTTGTCTTCTTCCTTTTCTGTCTCTGTCTCTGCTGGCCAGATGTGCACACTCTGTGGGGGAGACGCAGGGCACAGGCAGGCGGCCAGGCTAGGTTGGCCCAGCAAGGAGGAGGCCCAGGGCCCAGGGCAGGGCTGGCCCCCCACTGTCCCATCTGTGGGAGGCAAGGCACCAGCTGCCCATCCAGTCCTGCAGGGGGTTGAGAAGCCAGCTCCTCACCGCAGCACCCACAGGCAGGCCCCCACCCTGGGAGCCGGCTGCCCGCCGTTGTGCTGGCACTCCTGTGGTGGACCCACTTTTTGGTTTTGGGTGTGGACACCCCAGAATCTGGCTGGCTTGCAGCTGCCATAGCCTCCCCACCCGCCCCTGTTTGGAGGGCCCAGGCTGAGACAGATGCTGCAGACTGACGGTCTCCACTCCCTGCACGGCGGGACTGGTTCCTGGGGGGGGGTGTGGTCTGGACCCTCGAGGCCCCTCTGCAGATGGGGTGCCAGTGTGTCTGACCACATGCCATCTTTCCATGCAGGAAGAACATTTCCCCAGAGCGCGTGACCCACGCAGACAGGGAGCAGACCAAGAAGGTGGTGTACTCGGTGGTCTATGGAGCAGGTAGGCTGTGGGCGTGGACCTGAAGTCTTGGTGTCGCCTGTAGGCCAGACGGAGGTGGCTCTGGTCATGCACCCGTGTTTAAATGTGGCTGTGACATAGAGGAATCATTCTTGGCCATGTAGCTCACTTCGTGAGTCTCTGTGTGGCATTTACACTAACAGTACAGACCATTCACAGCCATCAATGCGCAGTGCTCCCACCAGCCTTTCCACGTGAGAGAGGACCTGCAGAGTGAGAGCTGGCCAAGGTCGCAGCCTTCTGGCCCCAGCCACACATCAAAGCGCCTGCTGGGGGCTACTTCTGTGCTTTGGGAGGCTCAGGGAGACCCTCATCCTAACCCCTCCCCCCTCCCCTTTTCCAGCCTCAGGACCCACGGCAGAGCAGACCTTCTGCTCCCCTCCACTCTCCCGCCCTCTCCTTTCTACTTCCTGACCGCAGGCTCTCTGGGCTTCTGAAATTCTTCCTCCCTCTCAGCCATGCTAAGTCAGTGGGCCTTCAGTCCCTCGGGAGAGCAGGAGAGGTGCGGAGGCCTGTTGGCCAGGCCTGTGTGGCCCTCCTTCTCCTGAGTCAGTTCTGCTTTGAGAAGTGGGGCTGGTGTCAGACACGAAGAAGAGAAGCGTCTTCCTGCCGTGGGAACCCTGTGTTCATTCAGGGAGAGGCAGCACAACTGAACTGGCTTCCAGTGCAAGGACATCTGACCAAACACACAGGCGCTGTGGGGGAGCCTTCTCGTCCTTCTCCCGCATGGCTGCGGGGCCATTCGACCTGCTTCCAAGATCCTCTTCCAGAGACTGCAAGTGACTGCGTTATGAAAAGTCTGGAACCTGCCTGAGACTGGCCAGGCTGGCTCTGGCCAAAGGGCTCTGTTCCCTCTGCTGGAACTCCTGCCCCATGGCCACAGCGCTTGGCCTCACTCCTTTCAGACCTTCATCACCGGTCCCTCCTCAGCCCCCGTTGACCACTGCACTCCATCCCTGTGGACCACATTTGTCCTTGCAGCCTCTGTGGGTCGGAAGTGCAGGCGCAGCTGAGCTGGGTCCTCCCAGGGCTGTGGTCTCAGCCGAGGATGGACGGGTGCACGTGGCTCCAGCTCGGGCTGGCTTTCCAGGGCCTCCAGCAGGGCAGGGTGAGCTGTGCATGTGGGGCTTCCTGCGGGTGCAGGTCCGCCTCTCCACCTGCCCCCCAGGGCACCCAGGTCCGTCTTCTCCTGTTGGCCTGGCCCCTTCTGGAGTATTCACTTTGTTTTTCTGGAGAGGAATGGAGCTCTACTTTGTAAATAAGGAGTGAGTCATTAGCTGCGATGTTGGTGAAAAGGGTAATTTGGCTGCTTTTAGCCCTGCTGTGACAGGGTTCCCACCCCAGGTCTCTGCTGTTCCCACTGTCACCTCCAGCCTGGCAGCCGAGTTTCCACCCCTGCTGGGCTGCATCTGCCTCGCATGTGAAGCAGGGCCACATCGGGTGAACGTGTCTTGTGCCCTGGGCTGTGGGACCCTTGGACACTCAGCAGGGACGCTGTCTGCCACCTGGCTCCCAGGGAGCAGTGTACTGCTTTAGGTGAACGTGCATGAGGGTGTGAAGCTAGGGCCACGTGGTCGTTGTGAGGACGATCGGGAGAGATAGGAGGGGAGCCAGGCTGCACAATGAAGTGAGAAGACGCTGGGAAGGGTGCGTCCCCAGAGCCTGGCCCCTTCCTTCCTCACCTTCTCAGGTGCTTGGAGCCCGCCAGGAGCAGAGTGCCAGCACCGAGAGGCCTCCACCCAGAAGGCGGCCCTCGGCTCACTGCTCCTCTTCAGTCGACTCCCCCCAGCATGCCCCCACCAAGCCCACCTGGAGGCACCTCCTCCAGGAAGCCCCTCCTGACTGCCCTGGTCCTGCTCTGAGCTTCTGCTGCTCTTTGAGTCAGTCTGACCCTTGATTCTCAAGTTGCTGGTGCTTCTTGAGTTGGCGTCACATCCACATTTGATCAGCCGGCATCACTGCATGTGAGCCCGGCTCCATCCCAGACACCAGGTGCCCTGCTCCCAAAGGGCCAGCGCTGGTCAGCTGAGGTGCAGGAGCCAGCCCGAGGGGACAGCACCAAGTGATCAGCACACGTCCAGCACAGATGCCGGTGCCAGCGGAGCCCTGAGGACGGCCCCTCCCTGGGCCGGGCAGGCTGCCCCGAGTAGCAACACCCAGGCTGAGCTTTAAAGGACGCGAAGGAGCCAGTCTGTGCCAGTTAGACCAGCCGGCACTCCTGGAGGCCAGGCACTCACTGGGCCCTGAGCTGTAAACATGAGCACGTGGAGAAAAGGGAGTGAAGACTGTCCTCCTAACAGCAAAATTGTACTGCACGTGCACCCACACATTGCACACACACGTGTGCGCACACACAGGCACGTGCACCCGCACATTGCACATACACATGTGCACACACGCACACACACAGGCACGTGTGCACACACACACGTGCATGCGCAGACACACATGCACATACACACGCGCACACGTGCAGGACACAGCCCTCTGTGCGAAATGCCAGGTTGTGCACTCATGAGGGTTCACGAGGTTGGGGCACAATAGGGAGCCTTTCCCAGGGCTGCTCTCGGGGAGACAGGCATGTGTGTGGTTACAGCTGAGGCAGCAGGGACCTGGTCCACTGCATGGACGTGTGAGAAACGTTGTGTCAGAAGAAGCAGCCAGTCCACGTGAGGCGCGGAACAGAAGGCCTCCCAGATCCAACGTCGTTTTGCTTGGGAGGCAGGGGCACAGAGGCCTGGGGGCGACAGAGCTGCCGGCAAGGCTGTGGGGAGCAGAGCCAGGGCTGGAGGGCTGACCGGACTCCCGTCCCTGTCTCGGGCTCAGTCCTGCTCTTTTCAGAATTGCCACGTCGTTTGCTCCTCTTGTGAGCAGGCTTTCCTCATGTACAGGGCCCTTGACCACCCTCTGCCCAGCACATGTCCCGCCAGCTCTACGGAAGAAAGGAAAGGAGTTCTTTCTCAGCCACAGACACTGCGAAGGAGACGTATGGCGTCTGGTGGTGGCCATGCAGCTCCGTCAGACCACCCTCCCCCAGATGTCAACTCTGCAGTGTGGGAAGATATAATTAACAACCACCTGAAGTTCCTGAAAAGGGGCCAGAAGCAGACAGACTTGGAGGTGGGTGGACACTGGGAGGAAGGAACAGTCCAGGTTCCTTCCTGAAGACAACCTCGGTCAGCTCGGTGGGTGGCTAAAACTGACAGCGACCCGGAGTCTCCCCAGCGTGAAGGACAGAGGACAGAGGCTGGGGAGAGCAGCGGGTCTGCAAAGTGAAGGGGAATCTCAGAAAGAAGGGAGCTGAAGAACACCAGCTTCCGGGCACGGGCTCTGCCCTCCGCGCGTGCGAGCAGGGCGGGCCTCCGACAGCCTGGCTGTGGCTGAAAGGGCTGACCGCAGATTTCAGCCGCTGCTCTCGGAGAGGGGGCAAAGTCTGAAGTTTGACTTCCGCCGAATTAACTGCCCCTGTTAAAACTATCAGTACTGCTGAGAACAACGTAACAGAATCCAGACTGCCCACCACGTGTCACTCACAACATCCAGGACACGAGCCAAGTTGCTAACCCTGTGATGAAACAGGACGACCTGATCCATGCTCAAGAGAAAAGACAGCCACGGGAGATCCTGAGATGGCCCCAATGTTGGATTCAGCAGACAAGAATTTTAAAGCCACCGTTATAACTATACTCAAGTGTGTAAACGATAATATGCTCATCATAAATGAAAAAACTGGAAATCTCAGAAAATAAGAAGAACCAAGTGGAAATTCTAAAGCTGAAAACTGCAATATCAGAAAATAAACATTCCACTGACTGGGCTTAACAGCAGAGTCGACGTGGAGAAGGACTTGGTGGACAGGACACGAAGCCCCCCGGCCAGACCCGCCAAAGCACGTGGCCACCGCTGCCTCCTCTCTGGGGGCCGGTGCAGCTGACCATTCGCGGGCCATGGCGAAGGGGATTGGAAAGTCATGGGAGGAGTTCCAGATGAATCGTTCCAGTGTGCTGTGTTCATGAAGCCAGCACAGGGCCTTAATCAAGTCCTAGAAGGGAAATCGGAGTGTTTTCGTTTCCAACCAAGTGACGTGGAGGGGTCGACAGGCCTTGGCAGAGAGAGGGGACTGCGGGCCCCCAGAGCTCTGTCCTGGGAGGAACTTCAGGGAGCACAGGGGAGCCCAGCCTTTCCCCCTCTTCCTGGCCACGCAGTGGAAGCAAACACTCTTCACCCTGTCAAGACAGGAGCGCTCTTTCTGGCCAGAACCGCTGAAGGCACCAGCTGGACAGGGCCAGGAGGGGCAGGGCTGAAGCGAGGACGGGGTCTGAGAGGTCAGCCAGTCCTGTTCCTTCCAAGGTATCTGCTCTGTCTTCACAGCCCCTCCAGCTCCACCACCCCAAGGCCACGGCTGCCAGGCCATGTCGTCTGAAGGCCCCACGGCAGCCTCTAGTGTGACCCCAGAGTTGACCCACTGCAGAGGGCAGCGGGCCCTCCCTGGTCCTGGTCACGCTCTCCTGGGACCTCAGGTCCTCAGCTGCTTGTCTCTCTGGGTTCCCACAGTGATGAGGCCCTGGGAGCCCCAGCTTTGACCCGGCCCCGCCGCCCAGCAAGGCTCCCAAGCCTGCCCTCGCGGCTGCCTCCTCCATTTAAATTCTTCTTTTTCGGAGGCGAGCAGGAGAGAACAACTTCATATTAAATCCCAGGCAGGAGCCAGGCTCTACTTGCTGCTTGTCCTGCCTGGGCCCATGGGGGCGCCCTAGCGGCGAGGGCGAATGGTCCTCGCTCATAGCTGGAGAAACCGGGCTTGCTCAGGTCAGTCAGGTCACTTCCCCAAGGCCACGCAGAGCCTCCCGTGAGTGAGGGTGCTGGGCTGGGAGCCAGGTGTGTGTGGGGCAGCGCCCCCGGTTCTGGCTGAGAGCAGGGGCTGCATCCACGTCAGTCAGGGCTTCCCTGCAGCACCTGCCAGACCCTCAGTTCAGTATTGCTGAACAAATAATTCTCTGATAGGCCCAGTCCAGGTTGGCTGGCACGTGGCGCTTAATTTGTAAGGCCCAAGTGGGGAAGGTGCAGCTCAGCGGTGGAGCGCATGCCTAGCACGCACAAGGTCCTGGGTTCGGCCCCCAGCACCTCCGCTAATAAATAAGGAAATAAACCCAATTACCTACCCTCCCAACAAAATTATAAAAATAAAATATAAATAAGTTAATTTGTAAAGCCAAAAGCAGCGCCATCCTTCCAGTCGGCAGAGACCGGCGGTGCCAGTTGGACCTTGACCGCCGCGTCCTCCAGGAGCCCTTCGGTCGGCCCGCTCCCACGTGTGGTGGCCACTGCCTGGTGGCTCATGCCCTCAGTCCCACCTCGTGTGAGTTTTGGGCCGGCCGCTGACGTCGCATGTTCCTGCTTGTACAGGGAAGGAGCGGCTTGCTGCTTGCCTTGGAGCAGCTGTTCAGGAGGCTGCCCAGTTTTCGGAGAGTTTTTGCAGAAGTACAAGAAGGTCACGGACTTCACCCAAGCAACCACTTCCCAGTGTCACCAAACAGGGAAGCCGGCCAAAGCCCCTGGCAGGTCCCTCGCCCCACCTTTGCCCTCCCTGCGGCAGCCGGGGGCCTCCCGCCCTGCTCCGCCTGCGGGCAGGTGAGCGGGTGGTGGGGGGTGAGGACTGGGCGAGTGCCCAGCCCCTGCTGGACACATGCGACTGGAAGGTTCCACATGGGAGGGCCCAGAGCCAGGCTCTTCTTGAGGCACAGAAGTCAAGCTTGAGTTAGAAACAACAGAAGGGCAGGTCCACACAGAGAGAAAACCCCACACCTAAAGGCGGAGAGCACGTGCTCTTAGGAGAAGCACGTGGTGAGTCCGCAGCGCGCCACCACAGTTTGGTCACAGAGTTTCAAAGAACAGCAAATAGAACATGTTCTGTGACCACAATGGAGTAAAACGGTTTCATCTCTGTACATGTGGCCATCTGTCCATCCACCTATTTGGAAAATCATTGCACTCCTAAATGATTTAGGATTAAAAAGAAGAAGCCCCAGGAAAATCGCCGGCATTTTAGAAGGAAATGACAGCCTGAGTATCTCACAGGAAGAACTGTGAGACACGGCCAGGCGGACACTTCACTTAGAGGTGAAGGAAGTCTCCAAGAGTATTTTAAAGAGAAAAAACACCTTCTGCACATAAATGGCTGTATTGAACATTCAGGGCATCTGGAAGGGGCAGCGGAGCAGATGAGAGGAAAGAAGGAAGGATGTAGGAGCAGAAACTCAGGAAACAGATGGCGGCCAAGAGGCTCGGCGGGGGTCTTGGTGGGAGCCGCGGGCTCAGCGCGCGCTGGAGATGAGAGCCCGCGTCGCGGGGAAGCCGCCCCGTGGCCCAGGGAGGAAGGCCCTGCCCAGCTCTCCAGGACCCGCTGGTGACTTTCCTCCCGGAGCGCACAGCGCCCGCGCAGCCCTCCACAGGCTCCCCTGGGCCTGACTACACGGCCCACCACCGGCCTGTGCGGGGGCCTCCCTGAGTCCTGCAGCCTCCGAGGGTGGCAGAGGACCACTTCCTTCCCCCAGCGAGTTCCAGCACAGCCCGCAAGCCCGGACCATTCCCGGGCCCAGAAGCCCCCAGCTTGGGGAGAGTGAAGTCCTGTCGACTTTGAAACGGTGAAGTGGTGACAGTGGCCAGTGCTGACAAGAGCGTGTGGAGCCGGGGTCGCTGTAGGCGGAGGTGCGGCGGAAGTGGGGGCCGCTGTGGGTGGGGGGCTCCCATACTGGCCTGTGTAGCCCTCACCGCAGCTCTGAAGCGTGGGCCGTGTTGTCACCCCACCTCACAGGTGAGAAAGTGAGTCCCCGACAGGTTGAGTAGCTTCCCAGTTCATGCAGCAACCAGCGGCGGCGCCAGAGCCAGGGCCTCCCCTGCTGGGGCTCCACTTCCCTCCCTTGTGCTGAGCTTCCTCGAAGCACCGCGGGGCTCTAGGTGCCCCAGCGCGAAGTGTGCGTGCCCTTTGATGCGGCAGTTACACCTCTGGGCAGACACTGTGAAGACACACTCAGTGGTCATTAAGCGTCTGTTGCGTGCCTGCCCCGTGTCAGGCACTGTATTGAGCCAGGGGCAGGAGCCCCTTGCTCTCCTGGAGCTGCGGTGCAGGGAGACGTAATCCTCGAGTCAGCCGTTGCATCCCGTGTCCGAAGGCTGGGATCCTGGGTGTCTGAGCAGGGGCAGCAGAGGAGGGCCCTGGAGAGCCGTTAGCCACAGTGACTCGAGGAGATGCACCTGAGCTATTTGACAGGCTGAAAAGAGCCAGGAGTGTTCCCAGCAGGGCAGGGATCAGGGAGCCAGAGAAGAGACAGGACGTGGCCAGACCCGCCCAGCATGCCACAAGCCACAAGAAGAACCTGGGTTTCATTTTTCTCAAATTATTCCAGCAACCGTGTGGAAAGGAGACTGGGAGGGGAGGTGAAGTTAGAGCTGCACCTGGGGACAGTGACGGGGTGTTAGCTCAGAAACTGGGGGGTGACGGGGGAACCCCAGGCGGGAGGAGCCAAGGAGGCGGTGTCCACAGCGGGGACCACCGAGGCGTGAAGAAGACCGTGTGCAGGATGGGGCCAAGCCCTCAGGTGTGGCCTGCCAGGGGTGAGACAGGCGGCCCAGGCAGTTTACCACGGTGTCGGCAAGGCTGTAGGTTCAGGGCCCTCCTTGTATGGGCCCCTCCCAAAGCCCTGGGAAAGGCGCTGCCTGGTTCTCGGCGTCACGTCGTTTGTAAAATGGATAGAAGCAGGGTGTGTCAGCTGCAGCTGACTGGGACTGCTGCCAGCCACCCCGCGCCGCCTGCCTCCGCCGCTCCCCTTCCCATGGTAGGGCCACTGGCGTGGCCACAGCCAGTTCTCGAGTCCAGCCAAGGGGAAGTCGAGTTGGTGACTCACTTCGTTTGGATTTCAGTGTGAGTATTCCTGTTCCGTTGCTCCTTCCATGTGTGGCGGAGGGAGGCTAGCCCTCCGCCCCGCCCATCGCCCAGGACAGTGTCACGGAGGTGTGGGCCACGGCCACCTCCCTCGTGAACAGGAGCTGTGGTCTTCAGCCCTGCAAACCTTGGAAGCAGCGTCTGAAGCGTGTGGAACAGGGGCTTCTGCAAAGGGGTGACTGGGCTCAGGACTCCTCCCACCATAGGTAACCGGAAAACTGGGCGAAATGTGCTGCCACAGTTTCAGACACTGGATCCTGGGCAGCGTGCCCCTGTTCTCTGAGCGGAGAGCTGACACCCTGCGTCCAGAGCACAGGCATGGTGTGGGGGCCCAGCGGTCCCCCTGGTTGCGCTGAGTTGCAGAGACCAGGACTGGGACTGGGGAGGCAGGGGCAGCTGGGTTTTGCAAGACAGAGTATCAGAGAGAGGGCGTTATGCAGAAAACTTGCTCCTAAATCTTCAGAGGTTTCCCTCTGTTTTATTACTGAGATACACGTGCAGAGTGAAACTCCACAGGACTAAGCAGAATGATTTCAAGGAACAGCCGGCTGAGCAGTCCCAGAGTCCACACAGGGCGAGAAGCTGAGTTCTGACCTGGAGTGGAGAGTCCTTGTTGGACACCTGGGGCATTCAGTGGAGACCCCAGAAGGATAACAGGTTAACAGTGGGTCTAAACTAGCCCTAGATTAAAGGCTGCTCTAAACCCACCCTAACAGAACTTAAAAATGGGCCTCCAGAGGGTCAGGTGGTCTGCAAGTACCTGCCTGCCTCACAGCCTTGAAAAGAAGACACCAAGACCCAGCTCTGAGTGGCAGCAGGCGCGCGGCAGCCCGCGTCCAGCCAGAAGTCGCCCGCCACGCGAGAGGCAGAGCCGTGCCGGCGGCGCACGGGCTTCCCGGTCCCCGCCGCCTGCTGCTGTCGGGGGCTGAATTACAGACTGCCCGTAAAGCGGGTGCTCCATACACTGTCATGTCTATAATTACTGTACACATGAGAAGTTCTTCCACTCCTCAGACGTGTAAAAGCATAAGTTGGGCATTTAGTTCTCGCCAACACCTGGTGAAACCGAAGTCCTCTCTGGTCAGGAACGTACTCAACCAACACAGCACGTCCGTGTTCACTTTCCTAATGAAGACCCCAAATTATGGGAGCTTCAGGCCCCACAAAACTTGGGTGTGCCCTCGTGTGTACGGACGTGGCCCCTGACTCAGGTCATCAGCCCCACCTTGAGTCAACTGTGGATTAATGCTTTTCTCCCCCATTCCAGTTGCCACACAGCCCAGAATTACTTCTGTACCCACGTCCCTCGAGTGGTTTTCAACCCCTGTAGAGTGAGAACTGCCCTCCTCGTCCTAACTCAGACCTAAGCGCAGCGCCGAGTCAGACGGGGTGCACAGACATGCCATTAGGCAGCGGAGGCCGCCTCCTGCTGGCCTTGCTCTCCCCCCACGGAACCCACCTGCCCTAGAGTCAGACCAGGAGGCCTCAGGGCAACCCCGGACTCCCTCCAGCAGCAGGGAGGGGTCCTGGGGGGGCCCCTGGGCCCAAGCTGAGAGTGGCCCTACCCACAAAGGGCAGGGTCCACCAGGGTCCTGCCTCTCAGCCTGCTCTTCCTCCCTATAACCCAGGCTTCGTGGCGTCCATCGTGGGCAGGAGGCGACCCCTGCCGCGGATCCGAGCACGGGACCGGCAGCTCCGGGCACAGGCAGAGCGGCAGGCAGTGAACTTCGTGGTGCAAGGTGCAGACCCCTGTCCCCGCCCCGTTTGCTTCTCAGGTTTTCGGCAGCCACAGGGCTGGGTAACGCCCAGCAGATCATTGTCGCGAAGTTTCCTGCTCCTGCCGCCCGGGGCTTGCTGTTGGGTGGCGCTGGTGAAGTAACACCCGGCACAGGGCCGCCTTGGTAACTGTGATGCCCCGCGAGGCGGGCCCCGGCCATGCGGCCCCTGTGTGCAGGTGGGACAGAGGCTCCCAGGGCGTGTCCCCGCCCTCGGCCTGGACCTTCCGCCACACCCCTCAGGCCTGGCAGCTGTGAGACCTTGGGGCAGGCATCCGAACCCCAGCCTGGCGCACCCTCCAGGAACCTGCAGCCAGTGGGGCAGGCTGGAGGGGTGACCACGCGTCGTCTCTAGCTGCAGCGTTCAGATGGTTCGAAGTGGGAGTCCCTGCGTGGAGGCGAGGTGAGAGGGCTGTGATGGCCACCCCGCATGCTGTGCGCTGCGAGCTGTCCTGACCAGGTCCCAGGCAGGCCTGGGAGCAGCACTGTGACCCCAGAGGTCACAGGTGGAGGACCTGGGCCCCTAAGGCCCAGAGACGAAGCCTGGAGGCAGGATTCCAGCCCCAGAGGAGTGTTCTGCAGCAAGAGGGTGGCCTGGGTTGAGCACGGAGGCTGGGTCCCCAGCGAGCCCTGCAGAGAGGCAGGCCTGGCGGTCCTGCCAGGTGGCTCAGCCTCCTGCGTTCCTTGGAGAGCAGGAGAGGTGGCAGCAGCTGGCGGCTTGATTGGCAGGAGCTGTCTAGTCTCAGTATCCAGCCCTCTCGGGCCCCATCCCCACTGTGACCACCCAGACGGGGGCCCTCCAGATCCTGAGACGGCTCTGGTCTGAGGCAGGTTCTCTGGTCGGAGGGCGCAGCCACAGGGCTCCGCTCACTGGGCGTTGTGTGAGGAGACGTGAAGCCGCTTTAGAGAGCCCTCCCAGGCAGAAGTGCCCGCGAGACACCTTCCTGTGAGGAGCCGACTGGGAGGCTTGGCCTGGAGCCGCCGCAGGGCACTCACCTCCCAGCCGAGCTGTCACCCTGCCCGCCTGTCTCGGAGCAAGTGACCTGCCAGTCATCTGTCTGACGAGCAGGCGCCAGGGGCCAGCAAGGGCCAGCGCCCCCAGGGAGCCCTACCTCCCCATGGCACCCCGGCCCCTCGGTTCCGCCCCCACATGTGCTCTGTTCCCTCCACCCAGTCCCTCCTCGCCTTGTCTCTGCTGGTCTGTCCAGTCCTCCCGAAGTAGCAGGCCCCCCGACATCCCACCCTGGCAGAAGGTTCCCACAGCCCTGAGACCCTTCACATCCAGCGGGTTGGCCTCAGAGCCCAGACTTCTGTGTCCAGCCTTCCTGCCACACGCGTGGGGAAGAGCAGTGAGCGTCCTGGGGCGGTGCCCTCGGAGGAGGAAGACGGTGCACTGCCTGGGGACTCCTGTTTCTTCATCAACCTCAGGAACGATGAACAGCGAAAGAGGCTTAAAGCCACGAATGGACACCTGAACCTCGTGTTTCCCATGATCAGAACCGCTTGTTAAGACACCCACTGTGCACCTGGCACCAGAGGAGGCACAGCCCCCACGCTGGCCAGCACCTCGCGGAGAGCCTGACTGGCCGTGTAACTTACCCCATGCAAACCTCGGAGGCTGAAGCGTAGCCCCGTCCCTCACACTGGGAGGCTGAGGCTCAGCGAGGTTCCCCGACCACACAGCGAGGGCAGCCGGAGCTGGTGCTGAGCCCGCGCAGCCGGCCGAGCTCCGTCGTTCCTTTAGTTGGGGTGGTGGGCCGCTCCAGGTGTGGGGAGAACCCGTGGACATGCCGGGACACCGCTGCCGCCATGAGCTCATGTTGTACGGCACAAGGGGGTCTGCAGATGTGAGGTCCCCCGTTGGCTGACTCGAGCTCGTCGGAAGAGGGGCGTCCGGGTGGGCCTGACCTAATCAGGAGGCTTTGGGGCAGTGTCAGAGGTCTGGCCGTGGGGGAGCAAGCCGTGAGCTGGGGAGGGCCTGTGGTGGGGACCCGAGGGTGGCCTCTAGGGGCTCCCGGTCGACAACCACCACGAAACAGGAGCCTCGGCCATTTGGCTGCAAGGAAGTGAATTTTGCTGACGACCTGAGGTGTCTGAGGTGGGCTCCCGAGCGGACTGTCCAGACGAGGACACAGCCAGGCTGCACAGCAGGGCCCCGAGCGAAGGGCCCCACCACATGCGGTGGGCAGCGTGGCAGTGGAGACGGCCAGCCTGGGCCTCGTGCTACTCGTGACAGAGCCCCTTGTGCCCTCAGGCTCAGCCGCGGACCTCTGCAAGATGGCCATGATCCGCATCTTCACCGCAGTGGCCGCTTCCCCGACCCTGACGGCCAGGTCAGTGAGCGAGCGGGTGGCCAGGCTGCCAGGGCCCAGCCCAGCATGGACCCCCTTCCCCAGCGCTCGGGGTGGAGGTGGGAGGGCGGGAGGGTGCTGTCCTGTGAGTCTGGCTGGGCCAGTCCCTTCCATGTGTCTGGATGTGGCGAGCATGCCACCCCCAGCAGGGGGGCCCCTTGGCCAAGCTGCTCTTGGCTCTGCCCGGGTGGCCCTTTGTGGGGCTGGGGCTGGGGCTGTGCAAGGCAGCCAAGGGCTTGCTCTCCTTGAGGCGTGGTGAGGTCTCCCCAGGTTGCCTGGTGCAGAAATGCAGCTCCCCAGCCCTCCTCTTGGTGCATCTGGACCCCTTCTGGTGCAGCCCAAGGGGCACCATGCGCAGCTGCCCACCCAGAGGTGGGTAGGGGCAGCCCTGCCCCACAGCCTCCCCAGGACGTGGCCCTCTCAGGTCTGTCTCTGCCTCGGTTGCCCCTGCAGCGCACATCCTGAGTGCGGCGTCCTGGTGTCCGGGCAACAAGGAGTCCTCGTCCCCCACTCTGCTGGCCCAGAGCCACCCCTCCGGGGCACCCGAGGCCCTGGCCCTGGTGGGGGGGGAGAGGTGGGCTCTGCTCCGGAACCCAGGCTCCCTCCCTGGCGGCTCACCTGGGCGTCCCCTAGAGAAGTGGTGCGTCAGACCCCGGCAGGCCTGGCTCCCTCCCTCCCTGGTCTCCGGTGTGGTTGCCCGCCCCACCCCAGGGACCCCCAGGAGGAACATGGCCTTGGATGGGCCAGAGTGGGCCTTCCCTGCCGAGGGGCCCTTCGTGGGTGGTCAGAGTGTCCACTGCGAGGAGGAGGAGCTGTGGCTCCCCAGCGCCACCCTGAGGCGGCGTGCTCACTCCCCTTCATCCCTCGGGTGTGGCACCTGCAGAGGGGCCAGCTGGGCTCTCTTCCCGCCACCTCTGGGACACAGGGACCTGCTTGCCTATGGGCGCCTTTCCCATCTTGGCTTCCGA